CGGGGTCCAGAAGGCAGGCCTTCTCTGCTGTAGCCCCTGCCCTTTGGAACATCTTGCCCCCAGCGGCGAGACAGGCCCCCTCACTCCCAGCCTTTCCGAGGGACTTGAAGACCTGGCTCTGCCATCTGGCCTGGGGCAGGGAGGGAGGTCATCAGAAATGGGGTTGGCTAGCTCCCTAGAGGCCTGGTGTTGCTTCCATCGGCCTCTTGGATTTTTTCTCTTCCTTCTATTTTGGGTGTTTTTCTCTTTTTATAAATTTTAATTATGTATTTATTTGTTTTAATTTGTTGTAAACTGCCCGGAATCCCCCATTAGGGGGAGATGGGCAGGGACAAGCCTGCTAAATAAATAAATAAATAAATAAATTGAAACAAACAAACATGGATGGCTGCCTAATATGTACCTTCAGGAAGGAATAAGCTGTGAATGGACTGATGAAAATATATAATAAATATATGTAACTAATCAGTGGTTAAGATTACAGCTTCTTGGGCCAATCACAACTTGTTTTTGTTACATTGCTATTTATGGTACAAGGACATTGAAGAATAGATGGTTTCCAGAATAGACAATTGTTTGTTTTCACAATAGAAAACAGCTAATGGAAAAGAAGATGGATGGAAGCAAGAAGGTAAATTGAATGTGATTCATAAGCCATGTATCCATGAAGTGAGGTTTGTTTTTTTCTCTCCCCAACATCTTTCAGGAGCTACAGTGGACACCAGTCAGTTACAGTGACACCCAGAGGAAACTGAAAGTTCTGACCTAATGTGAATCTATTGACTATCCTATAAAATATGGATAGTTCCTTGGTGGGACAATAGGAAATACCTTGGCAATCTGATGAATTATGACAGAACTCTTTAGAATTGTGACAAGTCTGAGAATGCTAGCAGTAATAAAAGAGCACCAGCACAAAGATGGGATGGGAGAGCAGGATGTCTCCTTGCCAGATAGAAGCAGATGTGTACCAGCTGGGATTTTCTTGTTCTTCTTTCTGTGATTCTGTGGGAATCAACAAACAAATTCTGGTTTTGACATATGAACAGGTCTCCATATTTTCTGGTGAAATTAATTATGATGAAATTAATTAATCAGAAAATATTTTCAGGACCATTAGGCCTCTCAAAGAAAGTTTAAAAAGGAATGGATATTAGATTTCTTATGCTGGTGATGTAAGACATTTGAAAGTGTTTTAACACGTATGATTTGGTCCTGTTCTGTTATAGCTTTGTTTTGGTTGCAAATATGGATTTAATTTTGGGAATAAATATTATAATTAAGGATCACAATATGATGCTGAACTATATTCCTAAAACATGGAATTTGTGTTTTAATGAAAAGCTTTGGCTCTCTAAAGGCCGAGATATGGCAAAGAGGATAAATCTATGTAATTGGAAAGTAAATCACTCTCCTGATTTTAATGAATGAATCCTGGATATGAGTTTGTTATCAAATTTTTAAAAGTCTCTGTGTTCTAAAAAATGAGAAGATGAAATGATATACTGCTATATAGCCTACATTTAATAAGGTTAAAAATTGACTTAATTCTATGTAGGTTTTTATATCTACCATATAACTCCTTCTGTTAATTAATCTTTTGTTGTTTTATGTTTAGTTCATTTTAGTCATTATAACGTAGTTTAGGCTTTTTTTTTTTCACTGTATAGTAATTATTTAATGTAGATTCTTTTCTTTTGTATTTCACAATTTTAACAAATAAAATTAAGAAGAAAAAAGGTCTCCAACCTAAAGGTAGGAGAATTAAGAACTGTTAGGAAAAAAAATAGTGATCCTCCTAGATTCTGGAAGGCATCTGATTACATAGAATCATACATCAGTTAACCAGTTGGCTGCCTCCCCCAGCCTAAAAATAATAGTACTTGGCAAACAAGCAGTGGTAGTTGTTTTCCCATTATGGATAGCCACATTACCAGTTTCCTTCTTCCACTCCAAGTCCACTCCATCATTCAAGACTTCCTGAAATGAACTTGGAAGTGTATCCAAGCATCCAACTGGGTAAAAAAAATAGAAGAGGAAGAAAACTATAACTGGGTGGGGGAATATTGGGGAGCTAATTACTTGTACCAGCAAGTGGGTTTAAAGACAGGTGTGAATAGACAAAAGGTCAATTATTAAATGGAAAGGTAAAGATTGGAGAAATTTGGTAGAATTTGGTCAGAGGAACTTGGACACTCATGCATGCAGCCCACGAGCTGTAGATCATCCTCGGTCATCTAAAAGCTTGTGATGCAGCCATTATGCTGGAAGCTAAGCAAATCTGTATCTAGTCATTGACAGATGGAGGATGGCGATGATAGAATATTTATGATACACATGGGAAGAAATGTAGAATATAAACATACCAAGTAAATATATAATAAATTAATGCAAGAGAAAAAAGAACCAAAGTTGTGCACAATTGGGAGAGGGTGATGGATGAGAATGTGGTTGGAAGGAAACTGGGAGAATTTTAAAAGAAAAAAGTATTCAGAGAAAAGAGAGACAGGGTGAGGCTGTTAGGGTTTTGTTGAAAGGGTTTGTATGATGCACTAATTAAAAAGTAGACAAAACATATTATGACACCTTGAATCTTACTGCCAGAGTATCAGAATGTCTCCCATAGACTGAAGCTAGTCAAGAACTGAGTGATCCCAGTGCCAAAGAATTGGTTTTATAAAAGAGCATCTTTGATTCCTCCTTTCCCTTCTCTTCTTGGCTAGGAAATTCTGCTTCTCAGAGAT